GGGGTCTGTGGCTTTATGCGACCCCCCCGCCCTCCTCAGCCGCTAGAACATAGACTTTTAGTTCTGTCGGACCTGTAACAGTATTCTCTGTCTGGATCATGTGCGTGTATTTTTCGTTTTCCCACCGTGTTGCTCTCTGCCTTCCCAGAAGGAGAAAAAAGAGAAGAAATCTAAACGCCGTGACAAATCCCGGAGGAGAAAGGCGGAGACGGATGAAAGCGAGCAGTCGGAGGATGACATTGATTCCCCAAAACTCAAGAAATCAAGGAGTGCAGTTAAACAGAACGGTGATATGAGAGAAGAATGCTCGGAGAACACGAGATTATCTTCCTTAAACATTAAATCCACCCACAAAAAACGGCACAGTAATTCTAGTGAAACGTCAAGTGGCGATGGTGACAGTGAGCAAGAGCAGGTAAAACTAATGATTGATTTAGTTGGAGTGATGTGTTTAGCTTTCAACTTCTGCATTGCAACAAGATTAAACTTACAACAGGTTATCTTTCCTTTTTTCTTTTTTTCCCAATCAGTGGAAAGACTGCTGTAAATTTTCAGGTTTTAAGGCTACTTAAACTGCCCCTTCTGTTGAGTATTTGCAAAAGCTTTAAATTATGAAAGTCTTGAAGTTCTAGATCAGCACACCATGGTTTCCTCACTTTAGCAGTCCGGTACTGTGGTGGCTGTTGGCAGACAGACAAGCTGCAGTGAGGTGGTGCTTTAATATGATTCAGCATCATTAGATATCACTGTAATTCCCACAAATATAGTTTAATTGACTTATTTGTGGTATTATGAGTACTTTTCTAGTGAAATAAGAATTACTTGGTTTTAGCTAGCGGAAAAAGACAAGTTATGTATTAATATGTCTTTATACCTGTGTGTTCTGCTGTTGCTTGGTTTTGTTTCTTGTTCCAAGTGATGCTTCACAAAGCATCCATGGTTTCCTGGGTTAGCATGCTTTCCTTACGTTTAGTGTTTTAATCATTGTGCTGTTAAAATGTATATGGAAGTGATGCATTACGACGTAGGTACGTTTGATGCTCTACTTCGTAATGTTATTCTTCTGGGGACTGATTTCTGTATCTGTAAATCACTGTGCTCTGTTAATTGGGAAGTAGGAAGTAGGCTAGAGATCAAGCCTGATTGTTGCATATTACAACATAATCTGTTAGGCCATTGGTAATTATTTAAAATGGAACGTTAAAATTTAACTAAGAGTTTTCATAGTTTTAATTTGGGTGTTTTGCACGTACAGGGTTATGCCATTAGATATGAAACAGTCTTAAGTTAAATTACAGACCGTTCTTGTGAAGTGATCTTTACTCAAGAAGCAACAAAGTAGGCTCTTCAGCTGCAGCTGTGATACTGTTACTGAAAATTTGACCCTTGGGTACGACACCAGTGCCTATGCCATCACCTTGAATTTTCTAATGACCATATGATATTCACATGGAATGTTACCTGATTTATTGTTTACCTAACAGGAGATGACTGAAGAACAGAAAGAGGGTGCTTTCTCCAATTTTTCTATTTCCAAAGGGACTGTTCAGCTTCTTCAAGGTAAATTTCTTGGCATGATGTGACCACAGAAAGTAAATGATCTCTGTCGTGTGGTTTTATACTTAATGTGTTCAGTCAGTGAGCTTTGAGATGTGCTCTGCTTGTGCATATGCAAGCACAGGTGCTATACAGAAGGCATATTGATTGCCTACTCTAAATACATCTTTGAACATAGACTTTTCTGTTTGCAATATTGCCCAGTTCAGCATTTATGGTAGAATTTTAAATGACATAAGCTCAACAAAAAATCAATTCTATGCGACAATTTTTCAATTCAAAGTTATTTCAGTGTGAATGAAGGAAAACCAGTCATGTTTAGTGTCTTTGACATGAGTTTGCGCATGACTTAGTATGAATTAAGGTAATAGAAGTGGTTTTGACATATGTCTTATTTGAAAGGAAGAGATTTTCATAGATAGGTGGGGAGTATTACATGAATAAAGCCACAGTACTTAACGGCCTTCATTAAAGGCTAATAACTTCATCTGTCGCAGCTAGCACTATGTCTGGTGGTATGAAGTGGGAGAGTAAAATGGACGGTCCCAGGGCGCTCTTTGCAGATGACCTCTGTGATTAAGTAAATCAGTGGAGGTGATAATATAGTCCTGACTTACTTCAGAGTTGATGGAAGTTCTGCTTGGGACAACTTCCTCTGAAGAGTATGCAAGAACTTGTAAAATGATCGTATTAACGAAGTCTGTTAAAATTGTCACAGCTCGAGGAGTGACGTACCTGTTTCCTGTGCAAGTGAAGACCTTTGACCCAGTATATTCTGGCAAAGATGTAATTGCTCAAGCACGAACTGGAACAGGGAAAACATTCTCTTTTGCTATTCCCTTAATTGAAAAGCTTCAGGGAGACTCACAGGAAAGAAGAAGAGGCCGTTCACCAAAGGTAACTACGCTTTGTTAGAATGCTGATTTTGCTTTGCCTTTACGTCAGAACGATTCAGAGTTTTAACTCGCTGGAAAAATTCTTCAAGTTTGTGCAGGGATAAGCTAATCCACATTAAAGATTCTTTGAAAGTTGTGTTGCCTGGGCTTTGCCTGCATCCTGTGTTTCCTCATACCCTCTGATCAAGAGTAAAGAGTAAAATGGCTCTGTCTACTTGTCAATTCCTTTTTCTCCTTACAGGGACACCAAAACTACACGTGTTCAACATGTTCCTATTTAATTTCGTTTAGTGACCTTACCTATTCAGATCCAGTGGCTACTGGATGCTTGTCTTTCTCCCAAATTAGTAACAGATGACTGACTTTTTCTGATTGATAAAAGCTGTTTACTTCAACATGCAAATAGTGGGAGGTTTTAAAAATAGACTTAGTTTTTACTAGGACCACCACCAGATATTGATCTTGCTCCAGATAATGCAGATTCATTATGAGCTGTCTGCATTCTGCTAGGGAATAGCATGTATGTTTTTTTTCACTGAATTCTTACGATGCCCTCCAAAACTAGATAGGCCAAAGGTTATTGTATCCCCATTAATAGTAGAATATTTTTTTGTCAGTTTATTTAATCTTGTCACCCATTTCATAGATTACCTGAAACTCATTCCAAAACTAGTACTAGCTGTTTTATTTGCATCTGCCCATCATGTTAGCTGATGAGAATGTCTGAGAATGCTTGCTCTAGATTTGGCAGCCTTGTAGAAAAGGGAAGGCTTTCTTCGAGGGAGTCACAAGTCTTAAAATAAAAATAAGATTTCAGGCCTTGCTCTACCATAGTACGCTGCTACTTTCTTTTTTGTAATGTGTTTCAATGTTGAAAGAACTAACAGGATAAGGATTTTAAGGTTCCTTTTGTCAAACCACTGATGCCAGGTTTGAGAGTAGTAGTGCAATCACATGTTAAACTAAATTAGTTAAACCCCCTAGCTAGTAGCTTGTCCATCACCTGCGGTGAAGCCTGTATATTGGAAGAGAGGGTGGTTCCTTGGTTGCTCCTGTGGGGATATCGGCACAGGCTCCAGAACCATGCTGAACGCCAGCTTTGCAGACTGAACATATGTTTCCCTGAGTCACAGGGAAGCTGGGAGACGGTTGGTAGCTCTTTCTTACACCTTCTCACAGGACTGTGAAGCATTACCGAGCATGTGTAAAAACCTTTTATTACCAAAATCCTTCAGTCTTGTACTCAAACGGCATATGCGTTTGTAGAAGAAAACTTGTAGCTGATCTGTTACAAGAGACTTAAGCAGTGTGTTTCTCTAATCTTTGCTCAGATAACTGTTTAAACAAGATTTTTTTTCTTTTTAAAATTGTGTAAATGGTCAGACCTAAACTAATGATTAGAAGTCTAGTGGTTTCTTGGCAAAAGCCATGCTGAGAGAACATCTGTTTGTCTGTCTTCTGTCTAGGTACTAGTTCTTTGTCCAACCAGAGAGCTGGCAAACCAGGTTGCCAAAGATTTCAAGGACATCACAAGAAAGCTAACAGTAGCTTGTTTTTATGGAGGAACTCCATATAATGGACAAAGTAAGTGACATTTACCACTAACAATTGAAATGTTGATTGACTGACATACTTGAGAAATGCAGTTGGGTCCACCCAAATGTGCACTTTTAACTTAAGAACTGGAGAGTATTCATGGGGAATTTAGTAGCTCAGAATATATCTTCTTATAGTGAGAAACAACTGTAGCTGCCGGTTACATTCCTGGTGTTCCATGTCTATTTGTGTACTTAAAGTTAAGGAGATTATACTGTGTCTGTAGAAAGTATTTGGGTTTAGGTTATTGTAAACATTTCTATTTTCTTTAGCAAATGTTTAGCCTTGGAGCTCTTGAGTGGGTGTGGTGTTTTTTGTGTGACACAGGATATGTAGAGGATTGGTAAAGTGGAAAAGAACTTCTTCATTGTGACAGCATAATTTACCGTCTTGATGGTTGTAAACAAGGCAAATGAGAGCATTTTTTGAGCAGGGATGAGAATAAGCTCTTTCATCATAATATATCTTGAGACATTAGGGATGATTTTTTCCCTTGATCTTTTCTTCAGGAAAAGCAGTAAAACTTCTGCCTTACCAGTTTTGGTGGTTTTTTTTCCCCAAGTTTTCTCTTCCTGTTCATCATTTGTTCTCGCTTAAATTTGTAAGGACGGTACTTATGAATGGTTTAAGAAGCTGGAACTTCTGCCTTACCAGTTTTGGTGGTTTTTTTTTCCCCAAGTTTTCTCCTCCTGTTCATCATTTGTTCTTGCTTAAATTTGTAAGGACAGTACTTATGAATGGTTTAAGAACCTGTTTCATTATTACTTAATTACCATGTGTTTCTAATGTAAGAATGCTCCCTAGTTCACTGCTGACTCCTCTTCTGCTTTTTCCTCTTTATCAGTTGATCTCATGAGAAGTGGCATTGACATTTTGGTTGGGACACCTGGTCGAATCAAAGACCATCTTCAGAATGGCAAACTGGACCTTAGCAAGGTGAAACATGTCGTACTTGATGAAGTTGACCAGATGCTGGACATGGGATTTGCTGAGCAAGTGGAAGACATTTTACGAGTTGCATACAAGAAGGGTAATCTCAATATTTAAACAAATAGTAGGAAGTGCTAGTACTAGTTTAGTCTGCTAAAATTCAGGTGTATTTTTCTGAAAGTTGCAAGGTGGCTTTGTATAGAAATGACTGAATACTATATATTGTAGGGAATGTACTGTGAACACAGTACATGAGGAATTGTTGTGAAAGTGGGAATCATTCACAGGACCTTTGCAAAGCTTAAAATCCAGTACCTAGGGATCCGTAAATAACTTTGACACCTATCTATAAGTTGTACTTGGACTTCTTCCAGTTAAAAGGAATTAGAAGCTTTTTACCCTTTTCACTGCTTGAAAATAGCCTGGATTTTTGGTCATAGTAGCTTTCTTCCTAATCTTGAAAATATTTAGACTTTCTAGAGTATTTTTTTCCAGATGTTGGTAATGCATAAATTTAAAAAGCAGACTTGCCTTCTTCATTTTATATAGTGGTATTTGACCTCATATTTTTAATAACCCGTATAATCAACTTGTATATATCTGTAAGATGAAACAAACAAAGCTTATGAAACATTGTTTTGTGTTTTAAGATTCTGAAGACAATCCCCAGACACTACTGTTTTCTGCAACTTGCCCACATTGGGTGTATGATGTGGCTAAGAAATACATGAAGTCTAGATATGAACAGATTGACCTTATAGGGAAAAGAACTCAAAAGGCTGCTACAACAGTAGAAGTGAGTAATCTATCTAATGTGGAATGTTTTCAGGCCTTTTCCCTTTTTCCTTTATGCTACAAATGGTCATCCCGCCCCAAGGGACGTTATCAGAATGACAATGTTTTCAGGCCTTTTCCCTTTTTCCTTTATGGTCATCCCGCCCTAAGGGACATTATCAGAATGATGTTGGAAGTTGTTTTGAGAATTATTTTTTTAAGCATAAGGCACATTACAGCTACACAAACTGTTTCTAGATTTAGGATCTGTCTCTCTTATCACAGCATCCAGTAACCATATAGACCTCTCAGGTAGAGTGAGGATTCAGTTATCAGTTAGTTTTGTTGGTTTTCAGAGAAAGCGGTATCTGAAGTTATCCAAGTTGGAAGTAAAAGGCGTGCATTAACATCAGCCTGGCTCTTTCAGATTACTACAGACATCTCAGTCAAATTCTGCTATTCTGTGTACAGGAGATTTTTTCAAAGTTACTGTGGTATCTCACCTCACTAGGCCTTTGCTTGCTGTGCTGTAATTACCATAGCAAGGAATACCATACATAACATGCTAGAAGCCTGAATTAATTATCTTTACTTGATAAAATAAGATACTGTTTCTGCTTAAGTACCACTTAGCAGTTACTTTGACAGATCAGTTGGACACATCATAATTGTATCAGTGGGATTGAAAGAATGTTAATCTTGTGCTGGAAAAAGCCTTTAACACGCTGTATTTATTTGTTTCACTTCATCTGACATAAAGCTTTAGTTGATAGAACTGTGACAAAATCTTGCACCCCTGACTCTCCTCCGGAGAAATGGTGTAACATCTCCTGGTTTTTCTTCCTTGCTTTAAAAAAATGATTTGTAGACTGTCATCTTTTTTTCCTCGTACTGTAATTATTTCGCTTAACGTTAGACTAATTGTGGTGGACATAAGAGCCTTTTGCACATTCCAGGAATGCGAGTTTAGCATATTTCGCCCATTCAGGAAACTGTATAACTCTTTAGTATTTCTGGATTTTACAGTTTCAAATGTATTAAAAAAGAACCTTGTGTTTTTATGTAACCTAACACTGGAATTCTTTTCCATAGCATTTGGCAATAGAGTGTCACTGGTCTCAGAGAGCTGCGGTTATTGGAGATGTCATTCAGGTCTACAGTGGCAGCCATGGGCGGACCATTGTCTTTTGTGAGACCAAAAAGGAAGCAAATGAACTGGCTCTGAACGCTTCAATCAAACAGGTATTTTATTATCTATATTAAGTAACACAACCTGTCAGAGATGTATCAACCCTATGTCGATACCAGACCTATGCTGAGTAAGTTTTAAAGAGAGACTTTCAAAGTAGATAAGGCAGGCTTTTTCAGGTGGTCAGATAGTTTCAAAACTGCCAAAAAGAACCTTTAAAAAAAAAACCCCGGGCTGGTTGAAAGTTTACAGCATTATAGTCTTCAGGACTAGGTTGTGCTAACAGATATTGGGCTACAAAGGATTTTTTTTCTTAAAATAAGAGTTCTCATTGAAACTAAATGAAGCAGTTGTGAGTTAATTTTTCTGTGGAGAGGACTGTCTTGGATTAAAAAATGGTGGTAGACTTGGAGAACTACTAGGATAACAGGTCATGGTACTGGAAGAGCAGTTACTGAGCTGTGATGCTGATGTTAATTAGTGCTGTTGGGGCGGGCAATTAGGGTTCAGAGCTGTAGTATAACAGAGGCTATATTTGTATGTTTATTAAGATGTCTATTAGCTGTTATGAAGAGTTTAAAGATGTACATGCAGAAGAAATTCAACCTGCCATCTCTTGTGAATGACCTCTAGTGTATTCCTGAGATTTGTGGTATGGCACACTCTAGCACTGGTGGGAAATAACTCGTTGATGTAGTGTTTATGGTGCATAGTGACACTGGCACTGCATGCTCAGTTTTGGTGGTGGTATCACAGCAACTACTTTTTCTGTATGTGTTTTCCTTGAGGAGAGGGGTTAAATTATATCTAGAAAGCAGTATAGCGTTATGTTCCTAGGGAAAGGAGAAGCTTTTTCATCTGCCACACCTGTGTTCAGGAGAGTTTCTCCCACACTCCTAGATGACCTCAGTAACAACTAAACCTGAGTGTGGAGCCTTATCCTATGTTACTAGTGGTGTTAGTGATATAAAATCTTGCATAGGTAATGCAGAACTGATCTTGGCAGGTAAGAGAAGGAAATTACTTGGGTGTTTCTGCTTCAGCATATTAATGCTCGCTAGCAGAATATATGCCTATTCTGTTTGCCGGCTGACATTAATCCAAAACTGTCTGAAAAAGTTTTTGAATTCTCTGCTGACCCAAGCATTGTGTTAGTATTTTTTTTCAAATAATTCTATGTTTATGTGTGGAAAACATGGTAGCCATCTACAGGCAAGCTCTGAAATGTGAGGTGGAGGAAAAAACAATTTTTGTATGTTTGTTCTTCATACTTGTTATTGTTGTGATGCAGAAGGACTTTCAGAATTTTTGGATTAAAACAGAACTATCTTTGAAGCTGTAGTTCATTTTTTTTTATGAGCACTTATATTTCAATCCTTTAATTGGTAGTGGGAGAAATTAATATGTTAAGGGGGATTAAGAAGCAACACTATTTTGGAAAAGATATCTAAATGAGTACTAAGAAGGCCTGAGAAAATTGTTGATGACTTTTGAAACCACTAAGCCTTTCATAGATGGTGTGGATGGCAAGTTAGGACGTAGTTGTCTTCATAGGGCACAGTAGTTAGAGGTGGAGATAAGACACATGTTGTGGTTCTGTTTTCCTACCTTTGTTAAAGGTCTTTGAGGCATATGAATTGCAAGTACTAAGTAAATATTGTAAGACACCTAAAATATAAACTCTGATAATTCACTTTTTCTGTATCTTGACATATGGTATGTATCATTTACCAAAAAATGTTGTTGTACCCAAAACTGACCATAAAATGGAGCACTGTCTTGGGTTTTGGTACAGTCCTACAATACTACTGTTTTGCAGGATTGCCAGTCGTTGCATGGTGACATTCCTCAGAAGCAAAGAGAGATCACACTGAAAGGTTTTAGAAACGGCACATTTAAAGTTCTGGTTGCAACCAACGTAGCTGCCCGTGGTTTAGATATCCCTGAAGTTGACCTGGTTGTACAAAGTTCACCACCAAAGGTAGGTGGTTATGTTGGGTGTCTTGTAATAACTTAGAGTCTTGTTTTCAAGTAGTATATGCCATCAGGTGATGGTATTCACCACACAGAGTTTATCAGCATTGCATTTAAGGGTAAGAACTGTCATGATATACAGAAGTAGTTTCTTAGAGGATTTTTTCTGGAGTGCATCAGTCCCTAGTATGTTTAAAGATGGTCTCCTTAAAATGCTTTCTTTTAAGGCTGTTGAAAGCCTCTCCCTTTAAGGCCACGTATGGTGATTGCGAGTCTGGAAGCGGCAGGAATTGAAGAAAGGCTGTTTGTCTTGCAAGAGCAATTCACTAAGTAGGGGCATATATGGGGAGGGGACCCCAACAGTGAGAAGATTAGCTGGAGTTAAGAGGGTTTAAAAGAAACAAGATAATTTTTCAGTGAATTTGCTATTAATATATCAGTAACCGTGCTCCAGTTGATGTGCAGAAGGGTGAGTGGGATTGTTAGAGAGGTGTACACACTCAAAATGTTTTCTCATATTCTCTGTGGGTGATGCCAAAACAGGACTTAGTTGATCCATGCTCGTGGTTCTGGCTTTCAAACTGTGATTTTTAGAGGGTTATGGAAAAGCTTGCTTATTCTACGTTAGTGAAACAATGGTTTTTAATTTAATTCGCGAATGCAGTTATTGTGTATTGTTCAGGCTTAACTGTAATAGCTGCTTTTAAGTTATGTGAATGCAATGAATTAATTAAATTACAATAAATCAGATAAATCATAAGGCTATTTATTTTGAAGGATGTGGAATCCTATATCCATCGTTCTGGACGCACAGGTCGAGCTGGACGGACTGGGATCTGTATCTGTTTTTATCAGCGAAAAGAAGAACATCAGTTAAGATATGTGGAACAAAAAGCGGTAAAGCATAGTTTTCTTCTAATCATGAGCACTCAAATGTAATGTGTTAGGGTAGCAGGTAAAATGTTGATGTTTTGTTCAACAGTTCAATCAAAGAATTTAGCTTATGAAGCAGCAAGGTGAGGCTCAGTCACATTTCAGAGTTTGGGTACACTGTCATTACTGTGGAGCAGGGAGCACGCTGCAGATTCTCATGCCCACGCTTTTTCAGCAAATGCCAGTAAGATTGTACCCGAGAACAAGCTAGCGGGATTTCAGTTTAGTGTTCACCCTGGCTTATTGTCTGATCGGTGATTTCCATATGTCTAACTTTGTTGAGAACTCTTACTTCCATTTTTGCGCTTTGTGTGCTGTTCCATATGGTAGTTTTCTCACCAATTAAGTATTCAGTTGGGATGAGGAGGTTTAGTCTCGGCACATAAAACTCAGGCTTACATTAAATCAAACTAAAATTAATCATTTAGAATTTGTAGGGCTTTTTTTTTTCCCCTGCAATCTGCCAAAATGGTCTCTGTTTATTTCTGTTTAAGGTCACTGGTTCATTTAAACTGACCTGGTACATAAAAGGCTTTTAAGTTTTACCCATTTCACTGTAAGCGTAATCTTGTAATTTTCACTAGCAAAAGTTGGGAGTTAAAAGCTGAAAAGAAGAAGAAAAATGATAGATTTAAATATTTGTTTCATTGGAGTACAATACTATTTCTTTAGAACTGAATTATTTATGGTCTGCAACCGCCATCTGTATTTTGCTTTTTAAATTTCAGGGCATTACATTCAAGCGTGTTGGTGTTCCTACTGCGACCGATATAATAAAGGCTTCCAGCAAAGATGCCATCAGGTGCGTTTGGTGACCCTGTTGTATCTTCCTAGTTTAGAAGGGCTGTTTGGATCGCTCTTTGCTGTCTCTCTGAACTGATCACTATTGAAGTCTTGGACTGCTATTTTTCTTCTATTCCAGAGCCTAGTAAATACTAGTGGATAAAAAAAATTTTTTTTTTTTTTGCTTTAATTACTTAGGTGTCTGGATTCTGTTCCTCAAACTGCTATTGAGTATTTCAAAGAATCTGCTCGGTTCCTAATACAAGAAAAGGGACCAGTTAATGCTCTGGCTGCAGCTCTAGCCCATATTTCAGGTGCTTCTTCCATTGAACAGCGCTCCCTGCTGAGCTCGGATGCGGTAAGGGTGTATGGCTTATCGTTTGTCTTGAATCTGAGAAATCCTAACACACCTCTGCTGCTTAAATAGATAATTATTTGTCTCCTTATGACTTTTTTTATGGGAACTGTACTTAAGCCACTAAGAACGACTGATTTAGTTAAAGGCAAGAATATAGTGGCTGTAAATATACTTGCTCTCCCGTAACAGCACCCACTTGAAAACTTTATATATGTATATAAAGTTTATAAAGTGTAAATTAGCAGGTTTCTCGTGTCTGATAGATATGCTGAAGCCTATTCCTCTCACTGAATGGAGCATGCCCCATTTCTTACTCCTTAGGGATTTGTTACAATGATACTACGCTGCTCTGAAGAAATAAACAATATGAGCTATGCTTGGCGAAGACTGCGAGAACTGTTGGGTGATGATGTTGATAGGAAGGTGAACAGAATGTGTTTCCTCAAGGGAAGAATGGTAAGCTTTTTTTGTGTCTTTGCTGCTGAACTCTTCTGGTTGTTGCCTTTTCTCAGCAATTGTTAGGGGAGATATTTGATCTTTTTTTATCCCCATTCCAGGCTCTGTTGATAAGGACATGACTCTGGTAGAAGATTGGGCCTCCATCTGGTTTACTAGGGCTTGGGCATCTTGGGGGCTTAGGGCTCTGCTCTGCTGACATGCTAAGGAGGTAGTATAATGCAGCATATTAGCATGGCTGTAGGGATAGCAGAACAAGTAAAAAGTACCAACCATGTGTCTTAATGACAAAACACAGAACAGGATTTCTTAGGACAGTCAGTTCTGATAGTGCATGTCCATTGTATTCTGTGCCACAACTGCAGCAAAGCTCACTGGGAGACGGTTGTTTTAAACAAAAGTGATTCCCTCACTCTTCTTGCCTCAGAGTTTGTATGCATTTTCACAAACATGAAAATGTGTGATCAAGTATCCTGTCCAGGATTATTTGTGGTGACACAGAGGACAAGGAATGCTTATATCCTGCTGTTGCAAGTTGTTAGGCATTATCACTGATTTGCTCCAGCTCTGTTTTTTCTGGGTGTATTTCTTGTTCCTTAACATATCCTCACGATCAATAAAACTGTAGAGAGGGATGCTGCGATCTTGCTGAATTCATTCATTTACGTGCTGTCAACACATGCCATTCTCTTACCCTTTATTCTGCTGCTTTATTTTTCTGGTGCTTTCACACTCCTACATTTCCATGCATACTTCATTCATATCCACGTTGAAGTTTCCATATACCACGTGTTGTTACAGAGAATGATTCAGTTTGTGTTTCCTTGGTTTTGTGTGGCTTAAGGGGGTGTGGGATGGGGAGGAAAAATAGACAAAAGACCCCAAAACTGTTTGGAGACCAGTTGAGAGGGCACTTCAGAGGCAGATGTTGGATGAACTTTTCTGCAGAGATTTCTAATGGAAGCATTAAGATTGGTATGAGTGCAGTTTGAATGTGGGCGTTTTGGAAGTACCAAAAAGAGAGAGATGTAAAGATGGCAGGTGTTGAGGGCACCTGGTTTAGCCAATCATCAAAATCACAGCACATCTATATGCCAGTAATGAGGATACCCAGACTTGGTAAACTAGAAAGTAAAACAAGGGGCAACCTACACTTGAATAATAGCTTAAAAATTAAAAAAACAAAACAGAACCAAAAAAATCTTGTCTTCGGTGCTGTGTGTATTCTGCTTTTTGTTCCATCTTTGTGTAGAAGTTAGCCTGCATGTCTTGCTGTATGCATTTCATACATAGTTCCCAAGGTCTCTTGGCCAGATGCTTCTGATTTTAAATTTGACTTGAGGATGCTTCTTTATGTCAGTGAACTATTTTCACTGTTTTCATCTCTGAACATTTTTTCTTGATGCATCCCTCATGCATGATATTTGATATTGTGTTAATTAGTAAGATTTGTTTTATTGTCCTTGCCTCTGTCTCTCTATTCACAGCATTGTTCTGTATTCGCTGTGTGGAACACTTAACCTACGGCTAGTTGTCCCTACAGCAGATTTGTAATTCTCAATATCCAGATTATTCTTTTGGCAAGGAATAGCATTTTAATGAGCGAATTACATATTGTACTTAATAATTCAAGTAGTTCAACTTCAGATTTTTAGTCTGAACCTAAATATTCAGTTTACTGGATGTATACATTTCTTAGTATAGATTAAAACTTCTGATTTGAAAGAATTTACAAAATGAATAATGCAGAAGCCAGTAGACCACAGTTTAGGACGGAGAGGGTTATAAGCTTATTGTTAAAGAGTAAGAAAATGTGAATTGGAAGCACTGGCTATGCAGAGGAAAGAAAAATGTGTATCTGAGGAAAACAGTAAGGAAGTGCAAGTATTGGTAACTTGAGAAATATTGAGGTAACTCAACGCTTAAGGATTGTGAAATATCTTGTTTCTATTAAAAATCTTTGAAATTTAAAACTGTTCTAGTACATAGATTTGTAGGCTCTATTTTTTTTTTATTTTTTTTTTTTTTTAGTTGCAGTCAATTAAAAGGCTAGACTTGTATCCATTAAAATTATTCTCTCTTTTTAGGGTGTTTGCTTTGATGTTCCTGCAGCAGACCAAAAGGAAATAGAGGTATGTTCATTGAAACTTCTAGTTAAGCAGACTACGCGTAGATAAAACTGGCTGGACTAAACGTTATGCAGCCTGTGTCCTGCCTTTCCTAGTGGCAAAAGTCATGTCTTTGAAGGGACTGAAGAACAGAACAACCACACAGTGTTCCTTTCCTAAAGTATTTCCCTGTCTCCAAAAATCGGTAGCTTCAGACTTTTGCACCAAGAGGAGTGGTGGTGTGAACATTCCACCCCTTCTTACTGCTGCTAGATTAATCTTTGTAGGCAACAAGTCTCGTTACCCTGTAAAATCCACTTTTTTCTATTTTTGCCCCTCATTCTTTTCACCCAGAATTTTCTCCACAGAAAAACAATTTCCAGGTTTTTGCTTGGCAGAATAATATCCCCATGCCAAAATTCCCTGGACTTCCAATCTTTCCTTCGGGTATTTCTCCCTTAGTGCCCTGGCATTCGTTCACTCGTGAAACCATTTTTTGTTCTGGATTAGTGGGGAATTGAGGGGAAGGTGTGGATTTGTGATTGGTAATAATTATAGTGGTATTCTTAATAAATGAAAGGTGGGGAAAAAGTTTACCGATGGGACTGCTCTGTAAAGCTCTAAGGTGGGTTTCAGTTCTGTTCTATAGTACCTGAGCTGTAGCTCTTCCACTTAAAATTTTTAAGCTGGTATTAACCACCTCAGTTAGAAACTTGAATCCCCTAGATTAGCTCACAATTTTACCTTTTCAGTTGAACAAATTCAATAGTTATGAAATACCCTGTGTTCGCATTCCTAGAATTTAAGTTTTTATGTCTGACTTTATTTCAATAGGCAAGGTGGGAAGATTCAAAACAATGGCGTTTATGCGTGGCAACTGAATTACCTGAGTTAGTAGAATCACAGCGAGGAGGAGGAGGCGGCGGTGGTGGAAACGGCCGAAGCTTCTCAAGCTCCAGGAACGGGCGGCGTGGTAGCTCCGGTAGAAACAGATTCAGAGGCAGAGGCCAGAAACGAAGTTTTGACAGAGCATTTGATCGTTAACTTTAACAATCCAGAAGTGGAAAAAAAAGGGGACTGCAGTATTTTATAATACATTAAAATAGGCTGTTCCTGTGTGTTTGTACCACTTGGGAAAATCTGTCATTTGGATTTATTTTTTTTTCTTTCTCAGTACTACTTTGGTCATAAACAAGACCCTGTTCACTTTAAAAAAAAAAAAAAAAAAAACAAACAAAAAAAACAAAACAAGAAAAATAAAACTCCTTGTTTCCTTTCTTTCCTGTATCACCATTTCAACTGCAAGACCTAAACCTTTTGTTCCAGAACATGGCTGTCGCATTCAAAACCCTAGCCTGGCTCACTGTATAATGTATAGATCTTAACTCCTGGTCAAACCTGTACATTTTCCAAAAAAATAAAATATTATTTTACAAATTCATATCCTATCTCCGAAGGTTTTAAAAGCGTGTGCGTTGGACAAAGGTGAGCGGGGTAATTTGAGCACACGTGGGTGGGGTACGTTTGTTATGGTATAGGGGGCATCATACACCTGACGACGGAGGGTGTAAGCGGTGGTTTGGACCCGCTC